ATTTTCCCGAAATTTCCGAATGTTTTTTGTTATTAATTTGAAAAAAAAAAATATATTTTTACATAAAATTTTAAATACGACAACTTTTGCATTTAAACAAATTTGTTTTCTATATTTAAAATTTTCACAAGATCAATTTTCTCAACAATTTTTTTTTTTTGCTTTTTAATTCATTCAAATTAACTTTTTAATTTAATTCATTCAAATTAACTTTTTAATTTAATTCATTCAAATTAACTTTTTAATTTAATTCATTCAAATTAACTTTTTAATTTAATTCATTCAAATTAACTTTTCAATTCATTCAAATTAACTTTTCAATTCATTCAAATTAACTTTTTCGAATATTAGAAATTCCTTTTTGTAAAAAGTAAAATAATCTAAATTCCATTTTAAAAGTTTACAAAAGTTTTTGTTGTCTATTAATACGATCAATTTTTAATAAAATAATTTTCCGGGATTTTTATAGAAAAAAATTTGCGGGATTTTCATAAAGTCAAATACTCATCTATGAAGATGGCACAAGAGACGCTAGCTCTTTAGAACAGTGCCCATTATAGTATTTATAGAAGAGAGAAAAAGAAGCAAGATTACGGCGATGTGATAATGGTTGGAGGTTGGCTGCATGAGCAGGTTTCAACTATGTTTACAATGTTTTTTTGCACCTTGTCTAAAAGAGACCACCCCAGATATGGCGACAGTATTCCATACAAGGGCAAATTTGAGATTTATAGAGATAAAGAATAGAATCCAGAGTAAGAAAGTGTGGAGCATGATGAAGAGATGCAACCTTAGCAGAAGCTAATTTTGCAATGGATTTGATATATGGTTTCCAAGAAAGATTGGAAGTAAGAAGTAATCCTAGTAGATGAAGGGTAGATAACTCATCAAGCACAATACCATTCATAAATATAGGAAGACCTAAATTATTGCAATAATGATTGGCTGAAAAAAATTGAAATTAAAGTTCTCCAGCCACTGTGAGCCCCATGCTCTAGTAGAAGTGATTTTTTTCGAGCTCAAATGCCTCCTTCAAGCAACCAGAGAGTGTTGGCTTCTTATCATGACACAAATAAATGGTAGTATCATCAGCGAATAATGCCACCTTAGATGTGAAAATATCAATGTAATTTAAAAAAAGTATAGGGACAAGGAGAAACCCCTGAAGTTACAGGATATGAAGAAGAGTGCTGTCTATCAAGGACATTGGAAAGGAAGGACTCAATAATCTTAAAGATGTTACCAGATACACTGTAAGAAGAAAGCTTATGTAGAAGACCAGCATGCCAAACTTTATCAAAAGCTTTGGAAATGTCAAGAGTGATTGCCTTAACATCTCTACCTCTATCTAATGAATGACAAAACCTATCGGTTATTACTGTTAGCAAATCAGCTTTAGAATGAGAAGATCAAAATCCATATTGGTAATCAGAAAAAAGGTTATTAGGTTCAAGATGAGAGATTAAGTGTTTGTTAATTAAAGATTCAAAAACCTTGCTTAAGTTGGGAAGAAGACTAATGGGACAGTAGTTAGACGAGTCGAATAACTCTCCACAATTTTTGAAAATAGGTATAACAGATGCTGGTTTTCAGCAGGCTGGAAAACAAGATTCTGATAAGTACTTGTTGAGTAGTTTTGAATAGTTTTGAAAGACAACAGCTCCGGAAAACACTTCTGCAAGACTATAACAGGTATGTTGTCTGGGCCACAAGCTGTAGAAGAGTCTAAGCAGGAAGTCACTTTTGAAGTGATACAAATGTCAAGCAATGAATCAACCTGTTTGATGGCTATATCAAATAGAGTGCAACTAGTATAATCAAGAAATGATGTTGATGAAAAGTTTTTAGCAAACAATTCAGCTTTGTCTTTAGGCGAGGTGACAAATTCTGAATCGTACAAGAGAGGTGGAATAATAGATTTGCCCTTATTATTGATACTGTTAAAGATTCTCCAGAAGTCATGAGTGCCAAATTTTTGTGATGAAAAATGAGATTTTATGACCTGAGATTAGCAGGCTTTGGCATTAGACAAAACCTCTTTACAATGGTTTCTAGCAATAGTAAACAGATGTCTGTTTTCTGAGGAATTGTTTTGCTGATAGATATGGAAGTAATGGTTTCGATTGGAAATTGCAGCAGCACAATGTGAGGAAAACCATGAAGAAGAGTGAGGCTAGACCTGGAATTGTCGAGAGGGAATAAAAGATTCCATGCCAGCCTGAATCCACGAAGTTATGTGAGAAGCAAATTTGTCAGCAGGGAAACAAAAGATTTTTACATTTCTCAGACTCTTTTTGCAATTTTCTTAGATTTCTTAGAAAAATAATTCTAATTCTAATTTTTTTCGTTATTGCAATAATTTAAATCTTCCTATATTTATGAATGGTATTGTGCTGGATGAGTTATTTACCCTTCATTTACTAGGATTAAGGTTGCATCTCTTTATCATGCTCCACACTTTCTTACTCTGGATTCTATTCTTTATCTCTATAAATCTCAAATCCAACTTTGTATGGAATACTGTTGCCATATCTGGGGTGAATCTACTAATGATGCCCTTTCTCTTTTAGACAAGGTGCAAAAACGCATTGTGAACATAGTTGAAACCTGCTTTTGCAGCCAACCTTCAATCATTATCACATCCTCGTAATGTTGCTTCCATTTCTCTTTTCTGTAAATACTAAAATGGGTACTGCTCTAAAGAGCTAGTGTCTCTTGTGCCATCTACTAAAAATCATTCTCATGTTACTCATCATTCAATTAAATCTGATCCTTTTTCTGTGACTGTTCCTAGGATGTAACTTATATCTATAAGAACAATGAACTCCTTATGGTTAAATAATAAAATATTTTTCATAAAATACAAATTTATTTCATAAAGCTAATAAATTTCTTTATTGATTTAAATGCTGCTACTACTTATTTGTGCATAAATTCAAGGAAACCATTACATCCAAGTTAATGGCCAAAAAGAGTCGCAGAACTTTTTTTATAAGAATATGTGAACAAAAGTCGATGGAAGTATCGAACTTGTCAAACTTTAAATTTTGTAATGTTAAAAATTATATACAGTTTTACAAATTTACTTTTATGTGAAAATTTTACTTTTTAGTGTAAAAGTAGCTGTGATACAACTGTTGCGGACTTGCCTTAGAAAAAAAGGATCTGTGGTTTGAACCCCATGTTTTGTGACATTAGTTAGGAAGGCGGCGTGAACTTTCTATTTACTGCTCTTCTGCAGTGCTCTGTGATAAGACTGTAAGGACTTCTTGGGGCACTTAAATATGTATATATGTTGCATTGCGGCAACTTTTTTTTATTTTGGATTATAGCATTTAATTGCCATTTTATAAGGTCTTTTGTTTATTAAATAGTTTTAAAACATTCTACAAACAATTCACCTTAGCAGCCAAAGTTATTAGAGCTCGCAGCATTTCTGAATTGAATTGCCATTGTTTAAATCCTTACGCTTCCACTTTTTTTTAATCTTTTTCGATTTTTATTAATATAAAATAAAATATTTTTAAGTTCTATAGATATTTTTTACCTTTATAAAGTTTTATTTTTATTTAAAAATTGCATTGTCTCCTTAATATTGATTTATAGCATTTATTTGCCGTTTTATAATTTTTTTCCTTCTTTTGTTGTTTTGTAAAAATTAGCAGATTAGGGTGCCTTAATGGCCGTAGTGGTTATTTTGCTGCACTTCCAAAGTACAATGCGAGGGTTCAAGTCCTGTCGTGTGTTTTTAGTTCTATTGATGTTATATACATATACAAGAATATTGTATACTATAACAAACAAAATGGAGATTTTGAATAAATAGCAAAGCAGTGGTAGCAATTATTTGCGCGTATGTTGCATTATGAGATATGTTATTAATGTGCTTAGGTAGTGAGGCAAGCGTTTAACACACAATGAAGTGACAACTTTTCTTTTTTTTTATATAGGAAAAGAAATTTTATTTTTAAACTTTTTTTTTTTTTTTTTTATTAACAAAATGAGCATTTTTTTTAAATAGAAGTTTACAATTTTACAATAAGAAGTTATAAAATATTCAACAATAATTATTAACTTAAAACAAAGACATTTTTTTATTTTCTATTACTTAATAAAATTATTCAATTAAAACAACTATATAAAGAATAAGTACAGAAATGGTTGGTGTGTTCATTGTTCTACATATTTTTAAATCTGATTTTAAATGTTTTTTTAACTTTTTATATGATTAAAATTAATCAACACATTTCAAGCGAGTATTCTAATTATTATTTAGAATAACAGCTTCGAGTACTAATATTTGATTCACTGAAAAATAGCGGTTCACGCAACAACTACTTTAAAATTTTTTCAAACTAATTATATCAAATATTATTTTTTTATTCATAACTTTTTTTCTACAATTACTAAAAATATTTTTTCTACAATTACTAAAAATATTGAAGTAAGGAATAAGTTGAAATGGTTGGTGTAGGATAGACTTACCAAGACCCATATTTTTCAACTAGAAATAATTAGAAATATATATTTTTTAAATGCATTTTTAAACTTGTCATGTTATTAATTTTTTTAAAAATTTACTTAGTATGTTAATATCTTTTTAGAAAAGGTATTTAAAACTCCTGGCATTAATTTTTTTAATATTTAATTTTTTAGACATTTTTTTATTTATTTATTTTTTTCATTTATTTATTTTTTAGCAATTTATTTTTCCTATAGAGACTTTTAGCATTTTACATCGAAATCTGTTTTTATTGCATTACAAATAAATTTTTCCAAAAATTTTATATTTAAAGTTTTCGAATAGTTAACATTCATTATTTGACTCCATACATAATATTATTTTTTGAATAGTATGAGTTTGTTGATAATGAACTATGCTTAAATTATTTTTTTTTTGGTTTTAAAGACTGTTTGATAATTTAAAATTTTTGTTTATTTACCTTTATGTTACTTAATCATTTATACTTTTTTAATATATTAATCATTTATACTTTTAGATTCAAAAAAAACACTATAACAGAGCCAAGTAATGAGATATCAGAGCACAACTGGTCAACAGGTATAGAAGATATTATTAAATAAATTTTATACTTGAAAACTAAAATAATTTACATTTTTATTTATATATTTTATTATTTTTGACATAAGAATGGTGTGCATCTTAGGGTGGTTCTCAAAACAACATTTGAAAATAAAGTTTGCTTTCAACTCTTAAATGTGGTACTCATTTAAGGGTTTGGGAGCAGACATTTTGTTCAAATAACATTTTAATAACCATAATAGACAAAGTCAATTTTTCATAAAATTTTTCACTCATCTTTTTGATTCATCCATTCATTTACTCATTTTTTGATGAATAAAATGATTAGTTCTTTAAATTGTTTTTTTGATGCTTAAAAGCAAAAAAAAGTTTTTTTTTTGTATCAAAAGCAACAACGGACACTTAAAAGATGTTTTTTTTTATGCCTGTCAATATTACTTTGAGTAAAATACACACACTCACACACACACACACTCACACACACACACACACACACACACACACACACACACACACACACACACACACACATAAATACTTTCATTCAGAACCATTTCATGCTGACTCAAAGCCCTGAAGCAAAATTAAATTGTGAAGTTTTGAAATCTATACCATTACATTGTAAATATGATTATAGTATAGATTTTTATATAGACTTTTTGAAGTTTAGCTAGAATTTAAGGTGGTTCCTTAATTGGGACTTGGGAGTCATCCCATTGTCGGAGCAGCCCTGCTTTCATATTATTTTGTTCCATTAATATTTAAACAATTATATTATTAAATACAAAATAAATAAATATGAAAATAAAAAACGATTTTTTCCTATACTTTGACTAAATCAAATTTTAGTAGACTTTGAACTAAAAGTAAATTTGGTCATTTTCAAAAATGTATCAGTCAAATTTAGTTAACTTTAGAAAATATATTATTTGGTTTAGTCAACAGTAAAATTAATTAAAAGTTGTAACAACACTACTAAATACAAGTATTATTACCAGTATTTTAAAAGTCATAACAATACTACTAAATACAAGTATTATTACTAGAATTTTTGTTGGTCATTTTCACTTTTTGTTTATTAACTATTTTATATTTTGTTCTAAATAAAGTAATTTTAGATTTGAAATATTTTTTAATTTTATTTATTATTGAATTTTCTACTAATCATTTATTTGATTCTAACTTATTTGAAATAAAAATACATCAAGCATCATTGATGCATATTTTTGTATTTTTTTGAAATAAAAATACATTAAGCAGAGTTATCTTTTGAGTGATCTTTTCTTCTTTTAAATAACCATATATGTCAAGAAGCAGTTAGCAAAAAATGTATTGTTTATGCTGATTTACACTAAGTGTATAAAAATAACAAGAAAAATAACAATGCTTGTACCTGTTTCTATTTATGATTTGCAAGTAAAGTAGAATTAAAAAACTATATAGTATTGCATTCATACAGAATGCATTATATAAGGAGTTGATCTTGAACCGAATAAAAATAATAATATTGAAAATTACAGTTGTGTTGTGATATTACAATAACAAGAAACCAACTTATCATTAAAAGACAAACTGCATGATATAATTAATAAAAATTTAAAAGAAAGATATACAAATAACAAAAACTACATAAAATGCATCTGATAGTCTTGAAATTTATTTATTTTTTATTTTAAAATTTAAATTTAAAATCTACTGCTTGTTGTCTCAAGCCACAGAACCAAGTACCCAGAAGTCAGAAAATTGTTGTTTGTTGCAGATGACTTTTCAAAGATGAATTGAATAATTTTTAGTTATTATTATTTTATTAACTGACTGTTGCTTCAGTCATATCTGCTTTATTTATATATGCAACAATAAGAAATACAGTTTTGATAAGTATTTGGAATTGTTGTATTGATGTGATATATCGATTTAAATTTGATTGAGTTTAATAAAAGCTTAACGAATTTTGAATCAGCTAGTTACAATAAAAAAGTGTCTTTTGTTGAATAATAACTATATAGACATATATATTTACTGTTTTTAAGCAACCTCTAGTATGCATCTACAAATATTTCTGTGAACTCATCATGCTCTCAAAATGAAAGTGTAACCTAACATATACATATACAGTTAAACATATACATTTACAGTAACATGCTCCAACATATACATATACAGTGCAAAAAAAAAAAAAGGACACCTACCTAATTTTTCAAATCTTTAGTGAATCAGTATTCAAATTAATCTCAAATTTTAACCAATGGTAGAAAATTATTATAAAGAATACATTGTTTAAAGTTTTATTAATCACTTTTTACATAAAAAAGTTTGAAAATGGTATTTTAGTATCAAGTCATTGCATACATTTATCGATCATCAAAAATTTTTTGAATTAGAAGCATTTAAATAGAGGTTATTAATACGCAATCTTCTTTTAAGTCTTTAAACAGCTTCACAATAAATTTTCATGTTTTTAATTAAATTATGAAGTAAACCTATTTGTTTATATTTCTTATATTTCTTTATATTTCTTATATATATGTATATATGTATATATATATATATATATATATATGATTTAAAGGATAACATCTTGTGTGAGAGTATATTTATATATTATTTTAAAACATCAAAAATACGATTTCTCTCAACACTTATAATTTTTTTATTATTATAGAAATTTTCGCTGGATTTTAGATACCAGCTTCTTCAGCTTGTTAAATGTTATAGTAATTAATAAAATCGTTATAATTTAAATTAAAACGTTGCTATTGACGTCAGCTGTTGAATGGCTTCTTTTTCGCTGAAATTTAAAAAATGGCGTCCAAAACTTAGTTTTTACGTATTGACCCTCATCGAGATTAATCCCGCCATTTTTTGCAGAACACATGTTTTTTTGTAAAAATACAAAAAAACATGTGTTCTGCAAAAAATGGCGGGATTAATCTCGATGAGGGTCAATACGTAAAAACTAAGTTTTGGACGCCATTTTTTAAATTTCAGCGAAAAAGAAGCCATTCAACAGCTGACGTCAATAGCAACGTTTTAATTTAAATTATAACGATTTTATTAATTACTATAACATTTAACAAGCTGAAGAAGCTGGTATCTAAAATCCAGCAAAAATTTCTATAATAATAAAAAAATTATAAGTGTTGAGAGAAATCGTATTTTTGATGTTTTAAAATAATATATATATATATATATATATATATATATATATATATATATATATATATATATATATATATATATATATATATATATATATATATATATATATATATATATATATAAAATTTAATTTAGTAAAAACATATATCTAATTTTTGTGCTCTTCCACAGCATGTTTCACCATCAGTAGGTTCATCAGGAAGACGATGCTTCTTTATTTTTTAAGGAATTTAAGTTCATCAGCAAGCCTGATTTTTCTTTATTAAATTAAATTATATCCTCTTCAGTTCCACGCGAGTTCTACATAAATATCTCAATATTTTTTTATTTGTTTCTCAATAATAGGGACAAAAATAGACTAAGAAAAAAGTTTTAGCTCCTTTGTACAATATTTTCAACATAATTAATGATGTCCACTTTGATGGACAGTGGGATGTAATAGCAGAAATGTTAAAATTTAAGAATAAAAGATATGTTTTGAACAAAACGTTTGCTGTTATGTTACTATGTCAATTATTATTAAAACAAAACTTGAAAATAAAATTCTAAAAATTTAAAAAAACTAAAATACTAAAAAAGTTAGTAAATATTGATCAAATATTGAAAAGTGTTCTATTTTTTGGAATGGAATGCAGCAAAGTAGTTCCAATCTGCAGTTATGCAAAGAGGCACATTGCAAAACATGCACCTGAATCTTGTTTTGCCTGAACATCCAGTATTTTTGCATCATTCGATACCTAATCCAGGCATTTGTCAGGGATAGATCAATGAAATGCATTATGGCTCGAACTGCCTACTTTCTTGTCTTGGCTTTCATCCGGTAGTAACTCATCATTCGGACACAGAGGTCTACACCTCCCATCTTTGCATTATATTCCCTAATGATAACTGGTCGTGACACATCAACATACTTTTTTTCCTTTTTGTCCCAACGACGACAAAAATCTTCTGGGGCAAGACCATAACATGCTGATATTAACAATATTGGTTTGATGTCAAACCACTTCACAAAAGCAATTTTTCCATCTTACCTTACAATCATATCATGTGCTCCATGACCTAGTCTAGAAAAATTTTTTTCATCTGACAATTTTTTAATTTCTTTAGGAACTCTATTTCCCATGATTGTCCTAGTTAATTACATGTCTTTAGTTAGTATGTATTCAATCAATGGAAAGCTGGTAAAATACCGATCACAAAAAATATGTGTTCCAGCTGTCAACCCTTCTACTAAATGAGCAATTACAGCTCCACCAACTCCCACTTTGAATTGATCTGGAACAGAATTATATGTTCTTGCACCTTGATCCACAATAAAATCCATAACTAGGCCATTTGGACTGGCAAGAACATAATTTTTTAACCCAATTGGATTTGGCTTGTTGGCAACATAACGGCAAAGAGGACAAGCTCCTGTAAATGGAATCATTTGTTCATTAATACTCAAGTCCCGACACTTGACAGTAAAAGGCAGCCTTTTCTGACACAATCCATTATGGGTGTGACTTTCCACGGACGATCCAGTTTTTTGTGCTCATCTGTCACATGTCAACTTTCAAGTTGTTTCTGATCTGAAATTATCTATTTCTTGATATAACATCAGCAATGGCTGGTATTCTAAGTGTCTTTTGCCAAAACATATGCAGTTAGGGATATGATATGCTAGACATCAACAAACTAGCCCCAATAAAATGTTGAATTTCCATTGATGAAGTATTTAAACTTTTACCAGTTTGATTTGTTGAATTGACAAGTGAAAAATGCTATTTGCTCAAAAAACTCTTTATCAAGGTATTGTTTTATATAATCCAATGTATTTCATCCACTTCTTTCAACTACACAATCAGGAACAGGATTGAAAGTAACAATATTTGGCAAGAAATCTTCAACATGCTTCCACAATAAGCATCTGTTTGTAGAAGGAGGCATTAGATTCAAAATTAGATTCATTTTTTATAAAAAACAACTTAAAAAAACTTATTAAAAATGTTGTGAATATTACCTTTTTTTAATTTTTCGTTTAAAAACCATAGTTTTTATTCAAAAAAATCTAATATTGTTTTTTTATAAAAAATACTTTTTGTTTTTGAAATTTTTAAATGATTTTGCTTCTTTTGAGTACCAAGTTGACATATTTTTAAATAATTTTTTTTTCAATAATATTAGGGACCTGTCAAATGTTTAGGGGCTTTGAAGGACCTTCAGGGCAAATAATAAAATTTAGTAAAAAATATTTTTGAACCACAATATGATAGTTGAATGGGATCTATCTATGTATATATATATATATATATATATATATATATATATATATATATATATATATATATATATATATATATATATATATATATATATATATATATATATATATATATATATATAATATATGTATATATATATATCTATGTATATATATATATCTATGTATATATATATATCTATGTATATATATATATATATATATATATATATATATATATATATATATATATATATATATATATATATATATATATATATATATATATATATATATATATATATATTGTTCATATATTTAAAGGAGCTTCTTCAAAGTTGCAACTTCATGAATTGGTTGGATCTCTTGACTCAAATGATCAACCCATTGCTATAACAAAGAAAAAACTGGTACATCAAGATTACTGATTTATTTAATCTTGTTTTGTATAAAATATTAATACTTCATATTATTTAATTTTTAATGTCAATTTAATTTTACATCTTTTAGCGAAAGATGGAGAACACAACAAAAATATTGGACAAACCTCTTAGTAAGCCAGAATCACAAAAAGTAAAAAAATAATTTTGTTTTTAATTCTTAATAATAAAATAATAAGAATAATTTTAAACTTTATTGAGAGTATTTTTTCTTATTCTCATTGGTTCATTAGGACATTAGTTAAATATTGTTAAATATTATAAAAATGGATTATTTAGTTCCGTAATTAACATATATTTCAGTAATAACATATTTTTCATAAGGTTCAACATGAGGTGGAAAGTGAACTATTTAGTTTTAAAAGTTTAGTTAGTAAACTATCCCAGATTAATTTTTTTTTTTTTTTTTTTTCATTTACTATACTAATATTTAAAAGAAAAATGTTAAAAAAAGTACTGGTGGCCAAAGTAACCTACTAAAATATTGTTACTGAAAATATTTAGTATAAATTAACTTGTCTTATATCCAATTCCTTATATGTTTCTATACAGAACTTACAATCAATGCTGTTACTAGAGTAAAAAAATATAATATAAATATAAAATTATAATATAATATAAATATAAAAAACACTAAAAATTTTTATGCAATTATACAATTAGTTACAAAACTTTTTCAAATTTCCAGCATTTAAAAGTCATTTTTTTAATGTTATTCTAACGATTGTATTTTTTATGTTATCTGAAATCATAATAAGATAGCATAATGTTATGAGAATAACATTTCAATTGTGGTTTATTAGAAGTAAGTACTAAATCAGGGATTTTCTTTTTCTGGATATTTCTGAAGTTCTGGATTTTTATAATTTTTGTATAAATGATTAGTGAAAATAGCTTATAAAACATTTTTCTTATAGCTTATAAGATATTTTTCTTAACTTATAGTTTTTCTGGATATTTAAAACTTTTTGGTAATAATATATTACCAAAATATATACCTAAACTTGTATGTATGGAAAAAGTTTTAAATATCCAGAAAAACTAAAAGTTAAGAAAAATATCTTATAAGCTATAAGAAAAATGTTTTATAAGCTATTTTCACTAACCATTTATACAAAAATTATAAAAAGTTTGGAAAAAAATTTGAAACAACTCAGCTTTTAGCTGAGTTGTTTCAAAATTTTTTTCAAAGTTGTTTCAAATAAGAGGAAAATATATTCCGGATTTTTTCTGGATATTCTACCCAAACAATTTTCCAGATTTTTAAAATATGACCTGGATGATCTATGTTAATAGTGTCAATGTTATTCCAGTGATGACCTTTTTGAATTTATACCAGTGATGAATTTTTTGCTGCTATTTAGCAGATTTTATTATTTGATACTATACTATGTTATTTAATAACAATAACACTTTTTAGTTAAATGATTTTCTCATTCCAACATTCTCTAGTTAAAATTGACAATTCTCTTAGCAAACGTGAGATTTATAAATCACTTATATTCACAGTTAATGCAAAGGTAAATATTATTTATAGTAACATCCACAAAGATTTAATTTAAATTTTGAGTTTCTTTAATATATAATTTAAATATATAAAAAAAAATTTTAAATTGATAAAATGATTCAAAATAATGTTTTTTCGAACTCCTTAATTTAAAGCAGTGTGTGGGTGTCTGGTATTAACACTAAAAATAATATATAAAAAGTCGCATGCCCAAGAATGTGTCCCATCTGCCTGGCTAGAGGCTAACATAAGTCCATTGTTCAAAAATGTTTCCAAATATTCAATGCTGCAAAAAATTTTCCAATTAGTCTAACATCAGTATTGTGAAAAATTTTAGAAAAATTTGTTAAGAATAAACAATGACTTCCCTGAATTTCCCTGAAATTCCCTGAAACTTTGATCTCTAATCATCAACATGGTTTTATCAAAAATAAATCACAACAAATTTATTTGAAAGTATGTATTATGTAACAAAAGTTGTGTCAGACCAACCTTAGATTGATATTGTGTTTTTGGATTAGGCTTATGACAAACCAAAAAAAAAAAACCATCTATTTACTTCGTATATTAGGCCACAAGTAGAATTTTCAATATCTGAGAATGACATTAAATAACTAAAAAAAATAATAAACTACTAAAGTTCTCCACAAAATAAAATATTTTGTGAAGAATGATTCAATTATTTAGTTTTAACCTCACTAATTTTAAGACAAATCAAGAACAATCTTAATTAAAAGTTTGAGAACAGGTTTGATAAAATAAATTAGCATATTAAAACATTGATAACCAACAAGAGAGGACACAGGATTTTTTGTTAAACAACAAATCAAAAACTGCAATCAAAGATTTAACAAACATATTTAACAAACTTATTTAACAACATAATTGCAAGCAAACAGAACTCATTACCAGATGAAGTAGTAGGTTCACCATTTAAAAATGAGTTTAAAGAAAGAAAAAAGCTAAATAAACATACTCACTACAGCTAATCATCTATTATTAACCAGCTTTGCAAGATTTAAATGTCTTGTTGTATTTTAAAATACTAATACTAGTAATAACAGCATCATAATATAATAATTATTTATAAAAACATGAAGAATTATTTGTTGTTGCAAATTCTGCAAATGGTTTTTGAAAGGATTTTAGTTTTAAAAAACACTCCTAATGCATTTATAAAAAAATTTAATGAAGTAATATAATGCGTCTAAAGAAAAAAAAATTCCTAAAAATCTAACTTAAAATATAATAAGTTATCAGAGGTTAACCAATCAGAAGTAAGGACAATTGATGGTTAACAAATCAGAAGTAAGGATAATGTTTTTTTAAAGTTTCATTTATTTCAGAAAGCTTTGAACTAACTTGTTCATGATATTTTTTGTCATTGAAATTTGCCATCTTAAAAAAGTTTGCTGAGTTGTGTTCATAAAGAAACAGAAAATTGATTTACTAATCAGTTCCAAAAATTGGGAATGTTTTGAATAATTAAATTATAACACAGTAAGAACAAACCAATTAAGAGAAATTTCAAGTATAAAAAAGAATTTTAAAATTATTTTGTATATTTATTTATTTTATTTTATTTTACATTTAGTTTATTTTAAGTAGCGATATAAATTTTAAACACTTTAAGAACAAATTAAATGCAGCAGCTTACTTATTTGTACTGCAAAAAGCAAATTGTTTTAAATTAAAAAAGTAAAATACACAATTTTACCGCCATAAAACGTAATAAGTTAGTAAGGGGTTGATTACATGATCTTGTTCAGCAGGAATGTAATACCACCCTTGGTACACTTTTAAATTTCACATTTTTATTATATAAAAAAGTTTATATTGTTAAAATAGATTATATAATTTCAGTTAATAACTTAAGTAAATATTTACTTATAATTTTTTTTATAATTATGTTGTTAAAGTAACACATTCAACAAAATATACAAAATGTGTTTTGGTCAAACAAAACTGAACAAAAATGTTTTTGAAAATTTATTTGTGACTTTTTTATGGGTAACTCTTTATGTTTTTTCAATCTTTTTTTCGGGTATATCTGTGAAATTAATGAATTTTCATTACCTCAATTCACTTAAAAAAATTAAATTAAATAAAATTAAAAAAAAGCCAGCCAGCCATTCTTTTTTGAGTGGCATTCTTTACATTTCCCCCATTTACATCAGTGAAATTAAGGTCCAATAGGTCTACAAAACATATGTATGGTTCATTAAAATCTGATTTTTTATAGGGGAAATTTTGACGAATTATTTATTTAAAAATTTGAATGTTTTGTAGATTTTTTTTTGTAGGTTATATAAGATTAAAATCAATTTAATGATTTTAATGTACAACTGTTGTGTGGTAATTAGAAAAACAGGCTAAACACAGTCCAAAACCACATGACTAACACTGCCAACTTGTGTGTGGTCGAGCTTGGTGCTCAGCTACAGATTTTTTTTTTTCCTGAAATAATTTTCTGAAGATTATGATCATGGATTATTATTTGCAGTATGGTATGGAACAATTGTACTTCTAGCTTCTTCAATCTTTCCAGATGTTCGTCTTTTTGAAGTTACTTTCACTGGAACATAAACTCCTGATAATCTTTTCAATATTGCCATTGTAAAATTCATCCTTGAAATTGGCTTATGTTCATTTGGATTGATCTTATACCATAAGTAGCTACTTAATATTGCTCTACTAAGCAGAGAAAGTGTAACTTTTGTTTTCTACTTTATTGTTTTACGCTCTGAAAATTACATATAAAGCTGTGCATCACCCAAATCTGCACCCCCATGGTTTTATTCTGTTGGGTAATTCAGTGAAACATGCATTTGCAACAGCAGATAGTAATATAAGTTTTTTTTACCATCTTGGCATGCCACACGCAACAAAGGACTTTTTCTATATTGGAAAACCTCTGTTTGTTTTAATTTTGTTTTAATGCAGATTTCTGGTAGGCCATTTCTGTTGACTCTCACTGTGCCTTGCAGTGGTCTTAAGGGCATATAGATCCAATAACAGTTGAGGAGAATTACAATGATTTATAATACCTATGTGACCTTGATGAAGGAAATTTGTTTGGCTCAAAAGACGAAAAACTAAATTTTATGTCATTTCATAGCCAATTGCTTTTACATTTGGATCCTTTCCTCCCTTGCAAGTTTCAAATTGACTGTCTGAAACACATCCTAATTTAATCTTAAACCGAGAATGGCGTTTGTTTGGCATATATTGACACAGATGTTTTTCCTTTGTAACCAACCATAATCTCATCTATAGAAATGTCTATATGTAGATAATAATAATAATAAAGAAATTTGTAGTTAAAATGTTCAACTAAAAACTGATTTTCATAAATCTTATCGAATGGTTGTTAATTTAGCACATAGATGTTTGTAAAATGTAGAAACTTAAGCAAAATTTGGAACTGATCACCATTGAAATGAGTAACAAATCACTGAATAGAAAATGAAAAACATTTTTTTTATGATTTTATTGATGAATACTACTATAAATTTTTTTTGACAAAATATTGTAAACATTTATATAAATTCTTTTTTTTTTTTTTTTTTTTTTTTTTTTTTTTTTTTTTTTTTTTTTTTGCAAAGTGTTTTATGATTTTTTAATATGACCTGGATGATCACTGTGTGCATTAAAAAAAATGTCCAATAAAGTTTATTTAGTTTCAAAATAAATAAATTCTTTTTTTGAACAAATCAAAAAAGTTTTAATTTATTGACTATTATTTTTTACTTTAACAAATAATAATCAAATGATTTATTCAATACTATAACAAATAATAATCAAATGATTTATTTGATACTATAACAAATAATAATCAAATGATTTATTTGATACTATAACAAATAATAATCAAATGATTTATTTGATACTATAACAAATAATAATCAAATGATTTATTTGATACTATAACAAATAATAATCAAATGATTTATTTGATACTATAACAAATAATAATCAAATGATTTGTTATCAATATTGCTTTTGTAGCTCTCATTTTAAATTCAATTCAAAAATATTTGATTCTTCAGTTAAGCTTTAAATATTTATGTTTTTTTTTTTGTCTCTATAAGGTTCATTATTTGCAATATTACATAAGCCAAAGGAAATACAGCATTTCTCAATAAGTATTTAAAGTTTTTGATGGTTGTGAAATGTTACCTGTCTAAAGATAAATTAGTAATATCATTAAAATCTTATTTCCTCTCTTCATTCTTTTTTTTTAACTGAAAAAGTAATTTTTTGCTTAAATTGAATTTCACATCCTTCAGTTTATCAAACATGAGTTTATGCATGCCTTCAGCTTTTATAAGGTTTGCATCATTCTTGCTTAGTTTTTTGATGAAAACTCCCCAAGGCATTAAACAATTTAACAGGTTCGCAAGCATCATTATGTCTTCCGAAGAGAACATGTTCTTATTTTAATCAGATTATTAACACAACTCTTAAAAACCTCTTCAACATCACACACATTGAGTTTAGGCATATTTTTATATCTAGTTTTAGTTACAGTTTTTTTCCAAGTTTTTGCAAAATGTGTTTTTGTAAAATGGAATCTTACAATAATGATAAAAGAATATAAGATCAATATGAATATACGATTTGGTGTGTCCTCTTCAGTTAAAGATTCTTTAAAAAGTTCAACATCAACAAATTAACTATCCTCATTTGTGTCATTAACATAATCATTAATGTTGTGGTTCTCATCATCTTGTTTCTTTTAAAAACAATAGATTACAACTAAATGTAAACCATGGTTATGGTAGAGGTGGCTTATTGCCTCTAAGTTTCTTCCATCATTACTGCTGCGCCATCGTGGGTTATTAAAATCTGCCAATTTTCATTTCACTAATAAATAAATCATTTCCACATTACATTGGCCTTTAATTTTAGTCAATCGAAAGAAATAACAAGCAGATGTATTGAATCTGGGTTAATAACATAAGCATTTAAATATCTTGTGATAGCACAGCCCTTGTGATAAGCCCGTCATCAACTGTAATTAAAAACTTTAAATCTTTGCTTTTAAATTTTTTGAATTAACATAATTTAAAGTTCTGTACTTTTAATTTTGAAAAGGTTGTTGATGTAATTTGTTGCGGTTGTTGGTCTTTTAGGCATTATCCTTTTGATTGAACATAACCAATCATAACTTTTTGTTTACATATAGCCATAATTATCACGCTGTCTACTGCAACTACTTTTGACGAAATCTCTTCTAAAGAATCTTTTCAATTTTAAATTACCTTGTTAAAAATAAACAGATCTTTTTAAACAGTTAAAAACATGTTTTTAACTGTTAAAAAAGATCTGTTTATTTTTAACAGCTAAAAAAACTTTTATAGAAAAATTAGTCAAAGAAATATTATAATAATAAATCACTTCATTAATTCATATATTTACATATCTAGCTATACATACCTATCATAGTATACTTTGTTTTAAATGCATTTAAAAACAGTCTTAGAAGTGTGTAGAAAAAAAAAAACATTTCAAAGTGTGCAGGTGAAGCAACACTAACAACACAATTTAGTTAATTTAACACAATAAATACTAATTTATAACAAATATACCTCTAGTAGAAATTATCAGTCTTTTAGGTGGGTTTATTTTTTTCATACTTTTCTTTAATAAAAATACTTAGTTTTTTTTTCTTCACAAGTTAAAATTGCGTTAGAATACTCATAAATAACTTGTTTTAGTTTGCTTTTTGCTGCTGTTTGTTTAGGTGACATTTGTCTTATTTTGCTAAGCAGTGTTATATGTGAAAAATGTTTTATAATGAAAATGTTTATTCTTTTTTTTAAAGTTTTGCATAAATTTTTCCCAACTTATTTATAGTCAAACAATTTATTTTTTAAGACATTTTTAGCTGAACATTAAGATGATTGAAGTGATGTTATGGAATCAAATTAATAATTTATAAAAAAATGCTTTTAAGATTCAAAGAGAGGTAGCTTACACTCAAACAAAGGAAGAGATTTCAAAATGGGATCCAACAGTACAAAAAAATCGCGAAGTAATTTATCTTTGTTTTATATCTTTATCAAAATGTTTATTGATATTTTTCTTTATAAAGTTAAAAAAAAAATCTTAGTGTCAAATGATTTGAAAATAAAATGAATTAACTTTAAATATTACTTTAAATATTATTAATTTACTTTAATTATTTTTATTTTATTTTTGTTTTAGATTGTATTTCTAGTTTAAATGATTTAAGTCATTTCTTTATAGGCAGAACATTTGGTATTTCCATTGAATCAGTTTAAACCTCCTTCTATTACAATAAATTCTCTTGTTACATTTAAGGTAAGTTTTAAAACAATGCTTTCATAAAAACATAATTTTCCCCCCACCCTATTTTCTATCATACTTGAAGTATTTTATATAAGAATTTTTATATTAATATGTTAAAGTATGCATTTTAAACTTTTATTTAAAATTAAATAAAAACACTTTAAAAACAAGCTTAAGTGATTTGTGCCAAATTTTCAGAGTTGTTACGATCTTTTTATTTAACATTTTATTTAACAAAAAAGATATCCTAGTCAATCCAGCTTCCATTACTAAAGTCATTTCTTAATCAAACACTGTTGTCCGGACCACAAGCTGTAGAGGAGCTACAGTTTGTGGTCCAGACAACATTCCTGACATAGCCTTATCAAGGTGTTCTCCAGAACTCACTTCAGTTCTCTAATTTATTTAATAAGTGTTGACTAAGTTTCTTGTCTGCTGGAAAATTATATTTGTGGTACTAATTTTAAAAATCTCTGGAGAAACACTCTGATCCTTCTAACTATTGAGTCTAATTACTTATTTTGTCACAACCGGATTTCATTTTTCTCATTCTATGGCTGACTTGCTAATTATTGTAACAGAAAGGTTTTATTATGCATTAGATAAAGCTGGTGAGGCAAGGGCTATTGCTCTTGATATATCAAATGCTTTTGATAAAGTCTGCAATGCTGTTCTCATTCTGGCTTGACACGTCATTCAGCAAAATTGCATCTTTTCACTGTATCTATCCCTTCATGCTTTAAAATATTTTATCTAGTTTTTTTCCTCACAAATCATTGATTTTAAACTTTCTCCTATCTTTATGTTTTCTCTTTTCATAGAAAGTTCAATTTTTTAAGTCTTCTGTCAACCATTTTCTTACGCATTAATAACATTCTTTATTTCCTAGTAACTCCCGACTTGATGCTTGTAGCTTTGTTGGGAGTGAAATAGTTAAAAAACTGTCTTCATTCACATTTTCGAACATGTCAAAATGATTTTTGGTGTCAAAACAATTTTTATTTATTGTGGTAACCATGGTGATAATGAAAACCATGCATGTAATCTGCATAACCATTTTTTTGTGTTTTATAATAAATGTTTTTATTGCATGTTTTTTTTTCACATCGTTTTGTTTGGAATTTTTAATGAATGGAAAATGTGTTTGAAATTATTGAGTATCCACCTTTACTCTATCGAAATTCTGCCTGAATTTAAAAAGCTTTTAAAATCCTATAAATATTATTTCATCTTATTTTTCTTCTTATAGGCATCTTATTTTTTGATTAGAAAGATTTAAAAAAAGATTCTAAAAATGTTAATTAAAAAATAGGTCTATTCAACATAAAATAAATATGTTGAGGAAAATTAAATCAAAAATTGTTTATTCAAATAACTTTTATTATTTTTTTAATTTTATTTTCAAAGTTTTCTTATTGTTTTAAATACCCAGTTTATTTTAAGCCAACAAACGATTTAGAACGAGAAATAAGTGCTGTTTTACAAGGTAGTAAGCATTTACTTGAGAGAAAAGACAAAGAACTCACCGAGGCAGAAGAAAATGCTCTGAAAGAATTTGATTTAGAAGAAGCTCTTGAACGTCGCAAAGAGTTGCAAAAAACTAGAGCTTTACAGTCATATTATGAAACAAAATGTAGAAGAACAAAAAAAATTAAAAGTAAAAAGTAAGATTTTTTTTTTAGGTTATGTATTTGTAAATTATGTAAATTTTAAATATTTAAAAATAAATATTTATTGTCAATGAGTTTATTTATAATTTCTTTGCAGGTACCATCGAATACTAAAAAAAGAAAAACAAAAAACATTGAGTAAGGTAGATGTTGTTTCGTTATCTAAAGAAAATCCTGAACTTTTTAAAAGTGAGCTGGACAAAGCTGAAAAAATGAGAGCATTGGTATACTTTTAATTTTTATATTCCAAAATATTTAGCTAACGTAAATTATATGTAAAGCAACTTTTAATGTTTGTTTTGTCACAAGGTTGTTTATTATTTTTATTAATAATATTTGTTTTAAGCAATCATTACAGAGTAAATTACAAAAATATAAGTTAACAATAAATTTACTAAGAAGAAAGTTAGTGTTTGCTAACTTTCTTCTTGGTAAATTCATTGTATATACATATATTACTATTTAATTATTATTTATTTATTACTAATAAATTCATGTATATACATAACAAAATAGAAGTTAATTCGAGTTGTTTAATCTATTAAGTTAATCTCTTTAATAAATTTGTTACCTATATAAACAATTCATTTAAAAAAAAAATTAATAATCATGTATGTTAATAAAATTTGTGTAGTTTTTTGCAATAAAAATTTCAACAGATTATGAATGGGATATTTTTTTGCTAATTGATAAATTTTTTTTATCAAAAAAATGATGCGTAATTTTATTAAAAGTTTCAAACATGTTTTATTTTAAATATAACAAAGTTTATGAAAGTTAATAATGTACTTTAAAATGTTTATCATGCATGACCTCAACACAGTTTCTTTAGATTACTTTATTATAATTCAACTGAATGTTTATTTTTCCAAAATTTTAATTCATTGTAAATAAATTGTCATAGTAAAAGAAGATGCTTAAAGGGTTAAAAAAATGGAATCTGATAAATGATTTTATGATCACTAACCAATTTTTATCATTTTTGACCACCCTTTCTCCAGTAATCAAGTGTATCCATATGTCATCAAATTTACGTCACCAGTTACTTTCTGCATTTTGCCACAGATTTTGATTTATATTGTCTGTTATCAAAATTCATAAGTGAATTTTGATTTTAATTGTCTGATATCAAAACTCATAAGTCATAAGTGAATTTTGAATTAAAACGTCTGTATTTTGCTAATTTTTGAAATAAAGAGTCTAGTTTTAAAAAAAAGGTTTTAAATCGCGGTTTTTAAATAATTTTTGAAATAAAGAGTTTAAAGAGTTTAAAAAAGAGGTTTAAAGTCTTAGGAGGTTTAAAGAAAATTAAAAGACTAAAAGACACGTTTTAAACTTTTACTGAACATATGATCCACTAATCCCCCTCCCCCCTCCCCCTACTACACCATTACATCATTATCACCACTACACCATTATCAGCAATTAGTATTAGCCAGTCACTACCACTACACTATTATCAGCAATAAGTATTAGCGGCCAGTCTTTCCCTCCAAAAATCAATCAATCAACTTGAAAATATTTTATATTAAAATTATTATTATTGTTATTTTTTTTTTTTTTTTGCATTGTATGTGTACATTGATTTATTCTATTCATAACTTGTTTTTGTTCATGTCGCCACCCACCAACACTCTAACCTGTATGCTCACCAGTTATTGGAATTTTATTTTTTTATTTTTTTTATCCGGTCTACGATAAATTTATTCAGATTTTATTGTTATTTTGGGTTGCATTTCATCTTTGTAGGAGCGAGCAAGCCTTCGTCATAGAAATTCTTCAAAGTGGGCCAAAAATTTAATTACTAAAGGCAAAACAACTCAAGAGGTATTTTTTGTGTTTTTGTACAGCGGTATTAAAAGATATTTCTAAAAAGGAATAAAGTTCAAATTTTAAATAAAATTTATTTTAATAGGATCAAGAGAGAATTCGTGAGCAGCTGAGATTAAGTAGACAGTTAACAGATCATAAAGTTATAAAAAGTGATGACGATATGCCTGAAGATGAATCTGCCGGCGAGGCAGAAAATGCAAAGCTCATGCTATTGAGGCAAGAAAAAGAAACCGATAATCCATGGATGTTGAGTTCCAATAAAAATGAAAACAAAAAAGGTTTTTTTTTTTTTTTTTTTTTTTTGCTTTGACTTTCTATGCGTTAATTATTTTTTTATGTGTTTTTATAATTTTTCTTTTTTTTAAAAAAAAGTTTTTTAAATAAAAGTAAATGTTTTAAAGCAGAATCAACCGAGCGGTTGCAGAAGTTGAAGCCAATTGTAACAGAGGAGTCTATTCAAAATCAGCCAAATGAAGAACATTCGCAATCTGATGAAGAGTTAATTGATTTAGCTGTTAAAAAACAGAAAGATAAAGCTTCTGCCGAAAAGTTACAACTTGGCGATTGCAATACAAATATAAAAAAAGAAAATTTAAAACATATTAAAATCAAAAATGGTGAAAATGAAAAACATAAAGAAAAACCAAAACTGTTTAAATCAAGTCAAAGCTCTCTTGAGCCTGATTCTTTGAAATTTTTACGCTCAGATAAAGACGCAATAGATTTTAACATAGAAGACAGTAGTGACGATGACGTCAGTTACAACGAAGAGCAAAGAATGAATATTAGAGAAGCGTTTGCTAACGATGATGTGATTGGTGAATTCGTAAACGAAAAAAAAGAAGTTATCGAAAATTCAAAACAGAAGGCAATTGACTTTACTCTTCCAGGTTGGGGAGAATGGGCGGGTCCAGGTTTATCTATATCTAAAAAGAAAAAAGAAAGATTTACTAAACAACCGAGACCTGGACCTAAACGAAAAGATGAACATATAGCTAACGTAATTATAAGTGAAACAAGAAATACTATGCTCGCACAAAAACAGGTTAGAATGTTGATACTAACGAAATTATATATTAACTTGAGCATTAGTTTTTTTTAAAAAAAAAGCGTTTTTAAATAATACTTTAAAATATATAATCTATATTAGTAGTATTCTTTTTTTTTAGGTGGGGGAAGTGCCTTTCCCATATACTTCTAAAGAGGAGTATGAAAGAAGTTTACGACAACCAATAGGTAATCTTTGGAACACTCCCTCAGTTTATAATAAAATAATCGAACCAAGGATACGATCTACTCCTGGAGCAATTATTGAACCAATAAAACCTTCACGTAAAATTAAAAAAAAAAGAAATTAGTTTATGTTGTATTTGATCGTATTTATTTTTTAATATAAATTTGAGTGCGTGTGTATGTGCGTGTGTAAAAGCGCACGCGATTATGTTTCACTCGAATAACAGACAAAAAAAAATTGGTTCAAAAAGAAAAAAAAGACTATCTGGTTTAAATATGCAGTAAAAACTATCTGGTTTAAATATGCATAAAAACTAGTGAGTCACTAGGGAGAATAAAAAATGGAAAACGTATAATCAGAGTGGCTCTTGTATCGGTCGACCACAATTTTTGTTTGAAATAAGTTCGTTTTTACTTGACTAAATTTTGGCTCAATGTTTTAGGTATTTAGTCTTTTGTTTAGTGCATATTTACCAAAAAAGTGGGCTAGGTCGGTAATGTTTACTGTATAAAACATTTTATCATGCAACTTTCCCTATCAATAGCTCTAAATTCTCTCAAATTATCTTCCCCCATTCACTCCAAAAGAAAACTAAATATAAAAAATAAAGATAAATTGACATTTCTTGCTTTCAAGTAAAATTATTAATGCCATTGTTAGTTTTTATTCCTATTGTTTTTAATTGAAAATAAGCCTAACTAGGTAATCTTTCAATCATTCAACCAAACATTCGTTTAACAAGACATATTATTATCGTATTATTAACTTTACGTTAACGTTTGTTTAGAAATTCTGCGTCAGTAACAATTTTTTTTTCTTGTACATTTCGCTAACTCAATTTGGCTAACTCAAAAAGTCTCTCACTCTTCTACCTCTAAATAACTCAAGACAACAACAACAAAAAAACAAATAAATAATAGGCTTATTTATCAAAGCATGAACGACTATGTATTACCTATTTAGCAAGTCGTTAACCTACTTATACTTATGTGTATTGAAATAAAATTTAAAAAAACTAAAAAACTTCTTTTTGTCTGCATTCTTTGTTTTTTTGTGTTTTTTTTATTTGCATATTGCATTTTTATTTTTATTCTGCCGAAACTGATAACATTATTTTTTAAATAAAAACTTATTTTAAATTCAAGGACCCAAAAATATTATTAACGCGTAGGAGTTTCTTTATGACAAGACCATCGTTCATCGGTCGTATGTATTTTTGCCGCGTTCTTTCAAGTAGTTTTTAATACTTTACAGTTAATTTTATAGATTCTTTGTATAACTTAACTTTGTGATTTTTTTATTTATTTTTACTATACTCTGTAAACGATTACATTATATGGATAGTTAAGCGCCAAACCTGCCTATACTTCAAATATGTTAAAACGAGATAATTAAACGCAGTTTAAAAGTCTTTAAGGTGGTAGTCTACCTTGAAACCTAAATCCTAGAATTTTGTATAAAAAAAACCAATTTTTGGCTGCAATATAAAAAACCTTACAAAATTAAGGAATTTAAATTTAACTTTTCAAATTTGGTTTTGAAACACTGTTTTTTGGTCCGCGGGACCAAAAAAAGGGGATTTACGCTGCGATAAATAACTCAAGAACAATTAAGGTGGTAGACCACTAATTAAATCAAATCCTTCAAAAATTACATTTTAGATATTATTTACATCTAAATTGACTAAAATTTACTCTTGAATGACAAAATTTAAAAAAAAAAGTCAAAAATATTTTTGATTTCAGAAATTTGGTCCCAGAAACCCCAAAATATCATCATTTCGTTGCGGTGATTATCTCAAAAACTATTGAAGCTATTAACTTGAAATTTTCTAAATTTACTTTTAATACAATAAAGAAGATCCTGTTCCAGAATCAAGAAAATTTACTAAACAGATTTTTTTTTTATACGAAAAACACTTGACATTCAAAAAATAAGGCCTTTTTTGGCCATATTTGGGCTTTAATATCTTTGAATTGGATTATCGTATTGTCATAAATGTGGTAGGGGACATCCATAACAACAAAAGGAACAACTTCTAAAAATTTCATGGAAATTGATTAAGAAAATCTTGAGATATTCACCGCAAAGTCATGAATTTTAAAGATCTGAGAAAAACACATTTAAACAAAAAAAAGCATAAAAATTTTCAAACAAATATTAAAAAGCCACCTAAAAAGCCTATTGACAAATCGTTAGGTTAGAATTATTTTGTTCTATCTCCAAATTTGAGAAAAATGAGTTAATACTAATTTCTTTTTTATTGTTAATTTTTCTTTTTAGCTGTATTACTTTTGAAATTAATTTTTTTTTTTAAATAGTGTCAAATCAGGTGTATCCGATTGTTCTATTTGCAAAATATCAACAGTTTTTAATGTTATTTTGTTATATTTCCAACAACCAATAAAATTGCGTATAATTCACATTAAGTAATCAGTTCGTGTTTATTTCCTCTAATTTAATTTTAAAATGGCGGATGAAAATTTATTTACTATAATAACTATTGGCATGAAACTGATAGGAGTTTTTATTTAAAACTAAATTACTAATCAAAAGTGAGACTTTTTTTTAATGAAATCTAACTTTGAAAGTATTAATGCCTGTTAATAAAACCTGTCTTTTAAAACAATTTTTTTATAATTTTCTTTACTTTTACTCACAACACTTTTAATATAAGTTGATATTTAATATAAACTTATATTAAAAGTGTTGTGGAGTAAAAGTAGAGAAAATTATAAAAAAATTGTTTTAAAAGACAGGTTTTATTAACAGGCATTAATACTTTCAAAGTTAGATTTCATTAAAAAAAAGTCTCACTTTTGATTTGTAATTTAGTTTCAAATAAAAACTCCTATCAGTTTCATGCCAATAGTTATTATAGTAAATAAATATCAAGTATATATATATAAACTAAATATATAAAAAAATAAAAATATATAAATATAAACTAAAAACTATGATGCATCATAAGAAATATCCTCATTAACTACTGTGTTCTTTTATTTTCAGAGCTTCTTTGCTGCGGCATTCATACTAGCTTCAACTATGTAACTGTTATAATTTATTTAACTAGTTAAAAAATTTCTTCATGGGATCAAACATGTTCATAAAACCACAAAACTTTTCAATACTACAGTATTCTTTACTCATTTCACAAAAAACTAATATTGTACATAAGTAAACATTAAAAATTCATTGCTGCTGGTATGTTTATAATTTTGGTAGAATAATACTTCTGAATAAAATTAGGAGACAGTTTTATAAGCCATATTGTTTTGAGCATCATAAAAATTTATAATTTAAAAGTTACATTTCAGGAAGTTTATGATGGCAAACAATGGCAGCCATTATTCCATCTCATATATTGGTGTTCATTAATATGTAGCAGTCATTTGTAACATTGAAGTGATTGTAATTAGCAGTATCATTTTTTTTTTACAAAACTATTATTTAAAAGTTTTACAGATTATTTAATGCTGGATCTGGATGTACACATGTCCATTTAAATTTTTTTTTGCTATGCTACATTCAAATTTTAGTTCATGCAAATTAGATACAATTTCTTCATTGTTTAGATTACAATTTCTGCATTGTTTGTTGATTTGGTTTTCTTTAAAAAGTTTAAATAAGTATTTTATTATGCCTTGTTTTTTATCTTTTTTCTCCATTACTTTCCATTACTAATATTATTTAATCGAAGTGATAGGATAAATGTAGAGTGATACAGAAAACAACAACTATAGTTGGAAATTTCAATAAAACTCATGTAGCAAAATGCACCAAAAGTATTAATCAATAAACTAAAAGTAGTTTTAGAGTTACAATCACCAAATAGTATTTCATATTAAAAATTTACAGTATAATTATAATACAATTTCCTTTTTAGTTGTATAGCAACGGAATAAACAAAGCGTTGCTATGGAAAAATAAAAAAATTTACTTATACTTATAAAAAAATATACTTATATATATTAAAAAATAGTTTTTTAATAGAACTTGAAATTCGTAATTTACGATAGCTATATTATTTAAAAAAATTATAATTGAAAAAATAATTTTTTTGATTTTTAATAGTGGTCTACCACCTCAAAGATACAGTTCTGGATTTTTTTGTACATCATCTAATAAGGAAGTTGAATTGGCTGAATTAAAGAAAAAAAATATTATTAAAAAGTTTTTGTTTAATTAATAATTCAAAATGGCAGCAAAATTTTGACCCAAAATACAGGTTTTGAGCCCAATTAACTAAAGAACCAAAAAAGTTAAAATAATTTTTTTTAATTCAGCTAATAGATTATATATTAAAAAAATGTATCCAAGAATTATATATAAAAAAAATGTATCCAAGATTATATATAAAAATTATATATAAAAAAAATGTATCCAAGATTATATATAAAAAAAATGTAAAAATGTACCAAATTTCAGGTCCATAGCATTTAATTGAGAAAAGTTATTTATAGCACCGTTTCAAAAAACCTTATTTTGAGAAAAACAGAAAAGAAAAATAAAACCCAACTCTTTTAGTCTAATTTAAGCCAAAAACTCACAAATTGCATTAACAAAGCATTATTTTTGAAAAACAAACTGTTTCAAATCATTATTGGCTTTACAAATGTTTTTGTAAAACTTCAAAGTTTAAAAACCACTTTAAAAATAAGAAAAGAATAAAAATACATAAAGCAATAAATTAGTAAATTGTAAATTAGTAAAACGCTATATATAATAATGTGGAAAACACTGTATAATAACGTAGAAAAAAATAATTTAAAAAAGAACAGTGTCATATTATTCCTTCCATTTCTTAATTGGCATCTGCAAATCCTTTACGCTGAGCTCTTTTTTTTTCCGTTTAAGCTTGACTTTCGGAGTAGACTTAAGATTCATATAAGCGACTCTTAATAAATTTTCCATTATACATATTTAGCATAGCAAATACATTTAAAACTCCTTTATTCCCTCGTTAAAATTTATGATTACAGATGAGACACCAATTTTTAATGTGTCTCTAGCAACAAAAATATCCTTCAAACATCTTTTCCAAATAATTCCATTTAACGATTCATTGTTGTTTTGTGTTTGCCCATGCAAACACTTACTTAGTAAATCATCATCACTTAAACTAAGAAAAATTG